TTCAATTAAAAAACCCAATGGGCACATCTCTGTCCTCATCTGACTTAATTTCTCTATGACGTCTGGTTCCATTTTTCTCTAATGTCTCACCATTATTAACCTTATAAACATATAAATTTGGGAGTGACATGAATCAGTTCATAACAGCCCTTAAACCAGAAAGAGGATTCCAAAAGATCTCCTTTTCCTTCATCTCTTATGTCAAGGCCAACCTGTTCTAATTCTGAAATATATCTGCATACCACCTAAACTCCTTAGGGTTGAACTTCAACTTCATGACTTTTCTTATGAAAAAAGGTCAACTACTTGCTGTTTCATCACCTAAAATTAACATTCTTTCCTTTCAGTCTTACTCTACACACAAATCATCTTTCAAGATTTGCTTCAATATTATTTCTCCTGTGAAGTTCTCCTTGACTCTGCTCTACTTCTTGCTGACCCACTCTATCTCGTTTCCTTGTCTGAGAAGAATTTATTATTTCTCTCATTCTACTATCACTGGACATACTATATTGCAAAACTGGATCTGTGTCCACCAGAAGATTATGAGCAATTTGCAGAGGGCAAGTGAGGGAGAAAAACATAATGTAGGCTCTGAGGTTTAGCTGCATGAGTGTAAATCCTAGGTTACCTTTTTTTTTTTTAACTACAGCTTAAATCCTTTCCACTAAATTTTAGCTCTTAGTCCTTCCAGAAGCTACTTACTGTCTCAGGAACTGAGTTTCTTCATGTATATACATATCTCCTACATTTGTTATAGGTTTATAAGAGATAATATATGCAATTCGCATAGCACAGGGCATACAGAATATGCTCAATAAAAGATGTGGTCATGGTTGTTATATTCTATAGGTTTTATAAAAATAGCTAGCTCTCATTGAGTCTCTGCTTCATGCTAAGTGCTTCACATAGGTGACTTCATTTACTTCTCATAACTCTGTGAAATAAGTATTATTCCTATTCCCATTTATTGATGAATTTAAGTGACTCGACAAAATTTTGACATCTCCAAATGCTAATGCAATGCTGGGGTCAGAGTGGGTGTTCAATGAATATTTTTTGAATTACTTAATACATTATTAATCCACTTTTAAATTTACATTAAATTTTAAATATAATTTTTAAAACTAATTTAATTAAACTAATTTTATTTTAATTAACTAAAAAAATTAAAGCCTACTGCTGAGGCTATTTTCCTTCACTCAAAGGAAACAATTCCCTCTGAACCATTCCATTCAAAGGCCCTCTGTTCTCAGCCTTGTGAATGTTTTTCCGAATCCTTTCCCACCATTGAGGACCTGGTGTCCAAAAAGACTTTGCCTATCCTGGCTTCTTGTACTAAGCAGACATTCCCTCTCCTCTCCTCCCCTTCCCTCCTCTTCCCTCCCCTTCCCTCTCCTCCCTCCCTCCCTCCCTTCCTTCTTTTTCTTTCTTTCTTTCTTTCCTTTTCTTTCCTTTTTTTTATAAAAAGGACATATTTAACTGCCAGCCAAGATTTCTGATCAGCAACAAAAGAACCTCAATTGCCAAGCTGATTGACATATAAATCCAAATTTTATATCAAAGTATTTCTTAACTGATACAGAAAGACATAAACAGGGCCTCGTATTAAATTCACTCTATAAGTAACGCTTGACATGAACATAGAAGTAAGTGGTGTACACATTATTTTTGGAATAGAAGTAAAATATGTGCCAAAAAGGAAGGTAGTTTTAAAGGTGATAAAAACCATCAGATTTCTGCTGAAGGCGCGTGTGCGCTCTCTCTCCCTCTCTCTCTCCCTCTCTCACACACACACACACACACACACACACCAGCAGATGCACTAGCTGAAAGCTACTGTACATACAAATAGTAGTTTGAATTTTGTGCTCATCTTCTACTAATGCTGTTCATTGACAAAAGGCCTACATTATATCCCACACCTTGTTAGCCTCTTCTATAAAACAGGTTCTTCCTCATTTAAATAAACTCCCTCAAAACATAGATAAATAATTAAAGTATTTTTAATAGAAGTCCATGCCATTTATAGCTTTTAAATGAAGCCCATCATATGAACCTCAGTACTAACTAATTTAATTAACATGAACCTTATTTCTACAACTTAGATGAACTTCAGTGATGCATTTGCAGAAGATGCAACACTGGGTCATGTCATGCACTCATATAGTTTTTTTAATGTTATGACACAATAGTGCTACAGTTACATGGTGACATTTTAATAATCAAACACTTATTTGGAAGTTTTAAAAATATCATATGTTAAGGTGTGCCTTTCCTGCAAAACATGCCATCAACTGGTGAATTTCAATGTGTTTTACTCTATTAAGTGCAGGTAAAAATATTTTTTTTTCTTTTTCTTTTTTTTTTTTTTTGAGACAGGATCTCACTCTGTCACCCAGGCTACAGTGCAGGAGTGTGATCACCAGTCACTGCAGCATTCACCTCCTGGGCTCAAGCAATTCTCCCACCTCAACCTCCCAAATAGCTGGGACTACAAGTGTGCACCACCATGACCCAGCTGATTTTTAATTTATTCTTTATTTTATTATTTTTTATTTCTGGTAAAGACAGAGTCTTCCTATGTTGCCCAAGCTGCTATCAAACTTCTGGTCTCAAGCAGTCCTCTTGCCTTGGCCTCCCAGATTGTTGGCTATTTTTAAATTATCATTTTATAACCATGGTTACTTACAATAGTTACTCTGTCTTTCTAAAAATACTACATACTTTTATGGGACATTTATAATAAGGTAGCAATAGAAAAAACTGTTCTTGAGTGTTCAGCATATATTAGAAGTAATATTTTTATATGAGATAATGTTGAGATAAAAGTATCTAGGGACTTACTAACAAATATTTCAAAAAATTAAATCATATTTTGCATAATAAAATTAATATTAAAAGTGTTTTGCTATTTTTTATTTAAATCTTGCAAGAGATAGTCTTTACATTGCACATGGTCCCTAAACAAAATGAGAATGTTATTGAGCACAATTTAATGTATGTATTTAAATACAAATGCAAAACTCATTTTTAAGTAGAACTTTGGATAAGTTTGTTATTGGTTGACAGTGTTCAAATGGATGTCCTTCACTTCCAAACGACAGATGTAATCTTTCAAGTGCAAGCAGCTCTACTAGTGTGGCATGTTAGTCTCTCTCTGCTCCTTAACTTAGCTATTTCAAGGGAAAGAAGAAGAATATAATTCGGTAAGTTGGGAAGGTGATATGGACATGTATAGGAGAGCCCCTTTGTCTTCCCTCTCTTTAGGGAGCAACTATTCTGCTCTGGTTCTCCAGACATTAAGTTACACAGTGAGAGGCTCTGCTTTGGCTTCAGTCCAGCTTTGTGACTGAGGGGCAACTTTGCCTAAAACTAGAGCTCACTAGAAGGAAGCCCACTTGGAGGTAGAGATATTTCATGTTTTCCTTTATTAGTGTCATCAGAAATAAAGGTGATATTTTGGTTTCCAATCTACTCATTTCTCATTTTTCTTTTTCAGCTGATTCAGAAGGTGGATGGCAAAAATGAGTATTTTTATTGAGCTCTCTCAAACTCCAAATGAAAAAGTATACTTCACCGCTTTTATTCATTGCAGTCCACCAAGATGGGGATTTCTCCCCTATCAAGAGACATAAGGAACATAAGACAAAGATAATTAAGGGATTTGTATAATACCATTAGGCATGGTCCTCATATTCAAAACAAGTCAGTTAAAGGTTAATAAAACTACCTTCTTTCAAGCAAAAAAAAAAGTCATGTATTTCTTTCTAAGGATTGTGTTATATTTCTATTTATCCACACATATTTGTGAATATACATAATATCAATATATATTTATATGTTTGAATAATTTTATTCAAAGAATCCTTGCCCTTTGTGTTTCTGTCTTACAAAGAAACTATTAAAAGCAAAAACTGTACACATCAATTTCCATACTTTGTGGAACTTACATTGGACAGGTACTACACTTGCTCTAAAATTCAAGTAACTTTAAGATGTCTCTTCCCTTGCATATGTAAAATAAACCACAGAATTTAGTCATGCCAATATACAGCAAAACAGACATGCATTTGCAAGGCTTTCAAATGCTAGAAGTGAGAGCACCAAACTATGATATCTGTTCATTTGGGTTGTCATTTCAAGAGACATAACGTATTGAAAACAATCACACACATTTTTAAAAAGAACTGGAATAAAAGAGTCCATTCTTAAAAAGACATAGCTGTTGAAATGTCAAGTAGCTGATTCTAAAAAAGAACTTACTACATAGGAAATCCACAAAGGATAATTGCTTTTTCTCTGGTGACTAGAATCCTACTGCTGTTTAAAACAAATAATATCAGCAGGTTTCAGTGTTAACTTATGTCAGCTTATATAAAATCCAAATAATTTCTAAATAAATTATAATCAGAAGATACAAGGTAAACAACACAAATTCTTAGACTCCTTTAAAGATAACTGAAAAGCTTGTTTATGTCTTAAAACAAAGTATTATATTTTTATATACGATAAGGTACAGGATTCACATTTGTTTGCAACATTCTATTCTAACAACCACTAAGCTAGAGTTCTTACCTTTGTACATAACTACACTTGGCACATCTAAGTTTGAGCTACAGCAATCTAGAGGAAATGGAGAGATGTATTTTTAATCACATCCTCCTAACATTGCTTACCCCATCCATTAATTTTTGACTAATACAATGAAGTGGTGTTAATCCTTATATTGTGATAAACTGTTTTTTCATCCTCATCCTATTAACATAGGAATATGGACTTTTAGTTCCTGTCAAGTGAGTCTTTATTATAAAGATGATAGAATGGATATGCATGTGAGTCTCTGTGATTTTGGAATATGCACCAAATACTGACTGCTAACAGTTACGAATATTTATCAGTTGCCGTTATTAAAAATGCATTTTTTCTCCAAGAGTTTTTAAGTAAACAATTTCAAAATGTTACTCCATCTGTCAATGTTTTCTGAAAACGGTACAAACCTTCTTTTTTATCTTCTGGAGTAATCTTCACTTTTGTATCTGTTATATCTTTGAATGAGGCCAGAAAAAGTACTACATCTCCTTTTTCATTCTTTATGGGAACAATATCCAGTAGGCACCAAAATGGAGACCCTGCAACAGTAAAAACAAAAAAACAAAAAATACAAATCAACCATTGCCTTGTGTTATTTCTATGGAAATCTCAATCATTAATAAAAATAAAGCCCTTAGTGTTTTCTTCAATCCCACAACTCCCTCCATCTTAAAAATGTCAGTTTTCAGATTCCATAAATTTCTATCCTATATGCATCTCTCTTCATTCCAAAGGAAATGCTTTTTCTGAAAATAAAGAAGTATTTTAAACAAAAACACTTGTCTGTGCTGAGATATTTCTGCTTACATTATTCAAACTGCATTTCTTCTTTGGACTTGTTGATGCTGAAGCATTCCACTTTATGAGAGATTGCCCCTTCCCACCCCCAGCACACAGTTTTCTTCAATAAAGACCTTTGTTTGGTATGAGTTTGCCAGAGGTTTATATAGTCAATTTAAAAATCAAAGCTTGTACAACAGAATGCTAAAATAAAAAAGATGAAAAATACCAAGTTTGGGGGAGCATGCATAGCCACTTAAACTCTCATACATTGCTGGCTGGTTGCAAATTAATACATCTACTTTAAACACAGGTAGTATTAAAATTTAATCTCACAATACTACATTATACATCAGCGTGAATGAGTGACTTACAATCATTTGAAACCAAATGGACGAGTATCACTAATATAATGTTGAGTAAAATACCTAAACACAAATGAGTAGAATGCAATAAGAATTTGTTTACATTAATTACAAAAACAGGCAGAACTAATTTATGATGTTAAAAGTCAGGTTAATGGTCACTTTAGGGAACTTGTGATTAGAAAGGCATTCAGGTCTGGGAGTTGTAGGATGCTGGTCAAGTTTTGTTACATGATCTTTATGTTGTTTACATAGGAGTGTTCAGTTCTTAAGTGCTTACATGTATTTTTCAGTAAGTATGTTACATTTCAAAAAATATTTGAAGAAGAAATAATCAAATTCAATTTAATTTTTGAGCAAAAAACCATGAGAAATATCATTAAGATTCAAGTTCAAGATATAGTAGCCAAATGGTATTGCCTAAAGCTTGTATTTTCAATTTTTAAACATATTTTAAAATATGTATTTTAGAAATATGTAAAAATATCTTGCACTATGTTTCCTACTGAAAGGCATTTTGGACAGGAATATTTGAAAATGATGATAAAGTTGTTGTTGCTTAAAAACTAAACTATTAATCTATTTATAAATAATTTTCCTTCATCTTCTTTTCATGAGGGGAAAAAGACTTCAATCCTGTGAATTCTCATCTTATTTGGGTGTTGATTTCAAGGTCAGGGTACAAGACAAAAATATAAGAGGGTCAAAAATATCCTTGATATTTTGAGTTGTTTTGCATACACTGTATTAGATCTCATAATTTCCAACACAACTCATGTATTCATCCAGCCTTGGGATCTATCATTCTTTTCTGCAGTTAAACACCAGGTGAAGCCATTAATTTATATTTAGGAGCCATCTGATATAAAAGTCTATTTTATTGTAGCTGCTGCTGTATTTGTTTAAAAGAATGGTTGGATTATGTATGATGTGCTGCTCTCATAAGTTACACATGGAATATAATAAAATATGCTTGCTCCTCTGTATTCTCCCAATAGCTTCAGAGTCATGATTTCCTCCTTTTTTTTTTTTCCCCTATGGTATCCCATTTCATTCATCTGCCCCAGTGTCTATGCCATGGCAATATCATTTCATAGCTGATCACCAGGCTCTAGAAGACCTGGGATCTAACCACGGTTCTAACACTAGCCATGAAACGATAGGGAAGTCAATTAACCCATCTGAAACTTGGTTCCTTTCATTGTAACATTCTCACATCCTTCACTCCAGTAGTGAATACAGTGACCCCAAAAAATGTTGAGACAATAAATCAACTCAAATGTTTGTGATTCATGGAGAAGCCTCAAAAATAAGCCATACCCATAGCCAAACACTGCTATCCTCATCATCCCAGAATGATTCTTAATTGAAATTTTATCTGTGGTCACCATTTCAGATTGGGAGCCTTTTTCAATGCTGTAGCTATGATAGAAACAAAAAGACCATCGGGCTAAACTAATAATCAGATCTTAGAGAAAGTAATAGTGGGGATACAAAGAATGGTATGAATCTGACATTGTGGTTGAAATTTTAAAGCACCTCTCTCTCAATGGCACCTCTCTCTTGCAAGAACATCACCAAATCATAACCAAGGCTATTAATTTTCCTGAGAATATTCTATCTGTGTACTCAGACAAGTATCATTACTGTCTCCAAAGAGCCTTTGCATAGGTGCACCAAAGTATTTCGGAGAGAGCCAAAACCACAGCATGAGGTGAAAGCCAAGGAAATAGCTGTTGATATGGCAATATTCACTGATCAGCCTTTGAGGCACAGCCATCATTTCACATTATATTCTAGAAGAACTGAAAGCTTACTTTGAGATTTGTCTTTTAACTTACAGTGATGTGGTCACTGACATTTTATAAATTCAATAAAACTTCATTAATTCAGATCTTTCTAAATTCAAGCTTTGGAATGATTTTACATGAACTAGACTGATGTCTACCTTCCCAGTGCCTATATGACAAAAAACCTTATGAAGGAAACAGTGTAAAGGGCATCAAAACTATTTCCTTTCCTTTCCTTCCTTCCTCACTTCCTCTCCTTCTTCCTTCCTCATCCTCTCCGTCTCCTTCTTCCTATAACTTCCTTCCTCCATCCTCCCTCTCCCCCTCCTTTCCCTTCCTTCGTCCTGCGTGCTTCGCTTCCTTCCTCCTTCTTCCTCCTCCTCCTTCCTTCCTTCCTTCCTTCCTCCTTCTCTTCCTCTTCTCTTCCTTCCTCCCTACTCATGTTCAACTGCAGACCCTTTATACTTAGCATGCTCTCTTATCCTCTGCTTCTCTGCTTTCCTAAATCTTTCAAGCAAGTACTCCACCCTGGATTTCTAATGACACCTTCTACCTCTTATGAATGCAATAATTCAAGGCTATTCTCCAGGATCTGGCTCTTCCTCTCTTACCTGTGGGCACAACGATGATCAACTCTCTCAGTCAAGAGCAATTCAAGCCCAGTTCAACAAATCTCTCTTAGGGTTAAGGTGAGAGGCTGCAAGTCCCTCAGCCTCAAATTCAGAGATGTAAACAATTTATAAGAGCAGAGTTAGAGGGCAGACATTTCATGAAAATTTCAACTCCTTCTTTATATAGCAGTAGTAATTACCATGTGAGTTGGAGAGTGCCAACACAGATGAGACTCTGACAGGATATAGGTTAATGACACCTTTAATTTCTATGGATAAATACAATCATGGAGAGAAAACAAGGTTTTTACCTTATACGGGAAAATCTACTTTTGGAATTGAATAGTTTTACACAAAAGCTCAAATCTGGTGGAATGTCCCTTGTCTCCGTTTTGGTACTTTCTTTTTCTTCATTGGGAAACAAGGATGCAGGATAACTTGACTTGCTAATATTTTTGTTGTTTATTTATTTTTATTGAGGTAAAACATACATACATAGTTTACCACCTGTGCCTTCTTGTTTTTTAAGAGAAAGTCTTACTCTGTCACACAGGTAGGAGTGCAGTGGCATGATCACAGCCTACTTTAGAGTCAAACAATCCTGCCGCCTCCCAAGTAGCTAGGACTACAGACGTGAACCACCATGCCTGGCTAGTTTTAAATTTTTTTGTAGAGATGGGGGTCTTACTATGTTTCCCAGGCTGGTCTTAAACTCCGGGCCTCAAGGGATCCTCCCACCTTGGCCTCTCAAAGCGCTTGAATTACAGGCATAAGCCACCATGTGCAGCCCATCTTTACCATTTTTAAATGTACAGTTCAGGGGTAATAAATATCTTTATAGATACTTTTCCCTTCATCCCCCTGCCTCCCCTTCCTAGTCTAGGGTGACCAACAATCTACTCTCTGTCTTCATAAGATCCACTTTTTTAGCTCTCAAATATGAATGAGAACATGCAATATTTGTCTTTCTGTGCTTGGCTTCTGTCACTCAACATAAGGGCCTCCAGTTCCATCAATGTTTCTGCAAATGACAGAAATTCATTCTTTTTTATGGCCAAATAATATTCCATTATGTATATATACCACACTTTATCTATCCATCCCTTGATGGGCACTTGGGTTGATTCCATAACTTGGATATTGTGAGTAGTGCTGCAATAAACACAGGAGTGCAGATATCTTTCATATATTGATTTCCTTTCTTTTGGATATATACCTGGTAATGGAATTGCTGGATTACATGGAAGTTTGATCTGTGGGTTTTTGAGGACCATTCCATACTTTTCTTCATAGTGGCTGTACTAATTTTTGCTAATATTTATAAGTATTAGAGAACTCATATGCTTTCCAGACACCACTAAAATATTCTTGTCCATAGATAAAAACTCATAATAGCTAACTAATAATAATGTTTCTAGTATGGGTTCATGGTTTAGTAATTTAATAACCTAGTAACTTAATACAAGCAGGTATAAGGAAAATTGAGTTGTGAGTGGTCCCATTCTCTTTAGTGACTGCGCTGTCATGATGGGAAATAACTGCATTGCTCAATATAACACAATAGGTCAAAGTGAGCTATGGACACATTTGATGTTCTCTTGTTTCTAACATCAAGCAGGATTTTGAATAAATTTTTAATGATAAATACATAACATCTTTATTTTTTGAAATTATAGTAACAATATAATATCCCAAGGGTTAAGAGCATCAGTGTTATGTGACCTAAACATTTTCAGGCATTCCTCCTAGTTCACATAAAGTCTAATGAATCTTATTCTCTACAACCATTGTCTCAGTGCTACTTAATGATAAAATAACAGGCTTGTCAGTTTTTAGAAATTAGTCCAGAGAAAATACATATATTTATATATATATACACACACACATAAATATATAAAATATATACACATATATAAATAAATACACATATATATACACACACATATATACATATACATATTAGGGTGGGAGTGGGGAAGAGCTGCAGTTGAGT